AAAAAAACATCACATATATTTCGTACATGAAGTATCTTACAAACACAAAAGGCTTGGAGAAAATTAAATGGGGATAAGATTAATATAGAGAGTTGAGTTGAGTTGAGTTGACTACTGTCGTCAAGTCATATACCTCCTTCATACCAGCCTCGTAAAGAACAGGCTCTTTGGCAGCATACAAGTCCTGCAAAGCTTGTTTCAGGCCCTGCATTGTTGTTTGTCGAGATATAGTTGTTATTCGCAAGACTTGTTATATAGTATTCATTCGGACAGAAGGGCAAATTCTTTGAAGCAAACACTTACATCATAATGAGCAGCATAGTCGATTTTAGCATGAATATCTCCCCTGTAATCCTTGACGGTAGGTCGGGCAGCTTTTTTCGTTTTAAGCGTCTCACACAAGTTGTGATAGAATTCTGTATCGATCCAGTACCCGAATAAAATACACAAAGTTCCCCTTTAAATATAACACAGAGAATAATGAACTAAGGGCTCCAACATCATCACAACAATACACGATACATGTAATATGACATAGAATGCACAAACTAGGAAGCTTACTGAATAAACAATTCACAGACACATGACTTGAGAAGGGCTCCAACATCACAATTCACAACTATATACCACACACGTAATATGATCTTACTTGATAACTTCAGGCGAATCCATCACTCCTAAAAATGGTTTCAACCGGGCAAGAACTGGACTTCGCCTATCATCATCACGTCGATCTCGCCTGAGGTCATCCAGACGTTCTCGGGCTTCTTTTGGTTGGGCGTGATCTTCTAATGCCTCCTTCAGCTCATATGACTGTTGAATCCAAAAGATTTCAGAAAAGGGAATAATAAACACTTTGGATTATTTACAACTTCATAAGCAAATTATATACTCACAATTCCATGATTCCATCTCTAACCGCAAGCAAGAAGTGTGTCCTAGCAAAGAGCTGTTTCACTTTGGAATCAAAAGCTTGCAGCTCATGGCCGCCGTGATTAAGCAAATTGTCCGTAAGTAGTCCTCTGATCTCCAACAACAACTGCTTAACCACTGGATATCCATTGTTTGACTACTACGTTCTTTAGTTCGAATTTTTTTAAACATAAAACAGAGTCAGATAATATTAATTTGAAATTCAAAGTGAAATTGGATTGTGACGTCCTAACAATTTGAGTTCTGTTTAATCCTCCAGACTACAAATTTGAAATTGATTGCATACATTTACACAATTTTTCTTTTTCTTAAATTAAGTAATTTATAATTTTAAAATAATAAGGCTATAGATTATCAAGAAAAGACGTTTTACAATCTTCGTTATATTTGGCTATTCAATATTCATAAAAGCAGTATAAATTATATTATATATATCATGCTAAATAATTTGATTGATTTATTTAAGTCTATCTAGAATCATAATATAATTTTTGGTGATAGACGATGTACCAATACAAGGATGTGTTTAATAATATACAAGTTACAAATTGTTTTATTCCAATACATGTGTTTTATGTTCTTCCAATCATTCAATCATCTCAATCTAAATGTTTACTTTAATAAAATTAGCCCGTGCATCGCACGGGTACCGCACTAGTAAGGTATGAGTAAGAGAAGAATGAGTGAAAGGGAGAGAGAGAGAGAGAGATTTTGTGAATAATATTTATTGATAATGTTTAAATATATTAACTTTTTATTATCCTTAATTGTAAACATGAATTTTAAAACGACAACTATTTTTTATCGAGTGAAATAAATGTACAAATTATATATTAATTTATTATATATCATCGAATAAAGAAAAAAATAATATTAACATTCAAAACTATTTTTAAAATAATCAATATGTCATTGCTTTTATACATTTATATTTATTGTCTCGTGCATCATCGCACGGACTACGTACTAATTATCATTAATAAAAAATAAAAACTATTTAAAAAATTAACTTGCTTAAGATAAAAAGACTCCTCTAATTATGTATAAGTAGGACTCTTATTATTATATTACTAGTGCGGTACCCGTGCGATGCACGAGCTAGTTTATTAAGGTAAACATTTATATTTGGATGATTGGAAGAACTTAAAACGCATGTATTGAAATAAACAAAATGTAACTTATATTATCAAACGCATCCTTGTACACAACATTATTTGTTTGATATTTTGGTACATCGTCTATCACCACAGATTATATTAGGAATCGAGATATGCTTAAATAAATCAATTATTATTTAACAGGATATATATGATTTTTGTAAGTGTACGCAATCATTATTTATTTTGTAAGTGTATGATTCAAATTTGTATTTTAGAGGATTAAACAAAACCCATTTTTTTAGTATGTTCCAATCCGATTTTGTTTTGAAAATTAAGATTATCTTACTCTATTTTATGTTTAGAAAAATCTGAACTAAAAAAAGTAATAGCCAAATGATAGGGGATTTTAAATATTAATTTTCAATTTGAAATTGGGCCCGATATTTATGCAATCCAATTTTTTTTTTTTTTTTTTTTTTTTTTTTTTTTTTTTTTTTNNTTTTTATAAACATGATCTGTTGCAATTAGGTAAACATACATGTTATAAACATACATGTACATCCAAAATTTCAGATTTTATTTGAAACATATTTTTTTTAATAAAAAATGAGAGAATTTTTGCTTTTACAAAATTGTCATGCCGAATTTTGCATAATTTAACCTGATTTCTATGCAATCTAATTTTTTTAAATAAACAATTTATATGTTGCAATTATTAAAAGATATATATGATAGTATTTTGCCTAATTCGAATTCCCGATTTATGGTAATCAATTTTTTTAAATAAAAAATGAGAAAGAATTTTGACTTTTGCAAAATTGTAAGCATCAGTTAGATTTACCTAAATTAAATCCACAAAACCCATGTATAGTTGATTGGTTTTTAGAAATAATTTAAAAAATAAAATAAAAACTGCCAAAATAGAATGCAATAAATGTTGGTTGACTTTTTCTTGTTACTAGTTTTGGTAAATAGCTAGGTTGTCTCTTTATATATATACTAGTACGGAGCCCGTGCGATGCACGGGGTGCACAATTTTAAGGCCATTTATCCAGCCTTATAATTATATAAATGAGTAAAGAAAAATATACGGAATATATAGTACGTGACTTGTGCGAAGCACATGATATATTTATTTGGGGATTATTATACTATAAGATGCAATATTCAATAAAAGTTTTACAATTCACGAAAATAAATATAAATAATGTAAATATCTAAATACATACACGATATGTGGAATAAATAAACCAAATTGCAAATCTGAAAATATAATTTAAAAAAAAAAATCGAAAATATATTTCAGTAAACATGTACAAAAATATCTAAATACATACACGAAAAAAATATATGTTTCAAATTTCGAAATTACAACAAAACGCTTTCCATTTCTTGTTTCCGAAGTCGTGTTTCAATTCTTTCCTCTTTTTTCTTGATTTCAGCTCTTTATTTAGCCAATTCAAGTTCAAATAATTTGGCTTAAGTTTTATCATGCAGAACCAACTCGAGATATGATTTGTATGTGCTGCCCCAGTCTTGAAAAAACATTATCACAATTCGAAATTTGAGCATAGGTCTATTAGACTTGTTTGATTAACCCAACATTGTTTTGAATAAAATACTGATTGGAGATATTTTTTGTTCGTAGGAGATTGATAGTGAAGAAGATGATGGCTCGATATTTTGAGATTTGTAATTTATAATGGGTAGAGTATATATATATTGTTGTTAATATTTTATTAGAAAATTTGAATTTGAATATACAGAAATCGGTTTGAACAAAATCAGAACTGATTTTTATACAATTAAATAAAAATTAAGCCTTTTTTATTTTAGTAAAGATTTTACGTACTTTTTTTACTTATCGGATGTTATGGGATTTTTTTTATTAAACTGATTTTATGGATATAATAAAAATACAATTAGAGAATTGAACAAAATCAGAATAGATTTCCATACAATTAGATAATAAGAAGTAATTAGATAAGGAAAAGAAAGAATTAAATAAGAAATTTTGAATTTGCTTTTTTTTTTAGTATAGATAAACTTTACGTACAAATTTTGACTTCACCGATTTTATGGGATTTGTTTTGATAAAATCGATGTTAATATGGAATAAGACAAATAAATAAAGTCTTTCTTATTGTAGTAAAGATTTTACGTCCTTTTTTTTTACTTATCAGATGTTATGAGATTTTTTTCTTAAACTGATCTTATGGGATATAAGACAATTAAATAAAATAATTAAATAAAATTTTGGATAGAAATAACAATGCATTAATTACGTTGACTTTTTAACCTACTAAATTTGGTAAATATGATACCTTATTATATAAGTATCGATTTTGATCGTTTTTGCTCACCCGATTTTATGAGATTTTTTATGTCAAGATAAGAAGAATTAAGAATTAGAAGTTCAGTATAAATTTATAAGAATAATTTTTTGTGGGATTTACGTACATAATTTTTTATGTCAAGATTTATAAGAAGGATTTTTTATGTCAACATAAATTATAAATGCATTAATTACTACTTGATAAAATTAGAAGTTCATTAATTAAATTTGACTTTTCTACCTATTATATTTAGTAAATAGGATCCCCTTTAATATAAGTATAGATACTAGTATCTGATCCTGTGCATTTGCACAAATATAAAACACGTTTTTATTTGTATTTATTAATTTTACATGTACTTCTATCATATAAAAATTATTGCTTTTTCTTAAGTATTTTTTATTATTCAAAGTTAATTGAGATTAAATTTTATTTTAATCATGCAACGTTTACATTAGTAACATGAATAAAATAATTCATATATTTGTTGCTTATATTAAGAAATTAACATAAATAAAAAAAAATTATTGGCGTTCCTGATATTCAGAAAACAAAATATGTGTCAATCATATTTTTCTTCCAACAATGCAACCAAATATAGCAGTTACTGCTCTGAATGTGCCAATCAACTTTAAGCTCCAACATTAGCCGTTACACATTTGAATATTTTGCTACTAAATTTAGAATTAATTTAGTAATCTATCCA